CGACCTGTCAACATAATCCTTAGATCAGTTTAAACATCATAAGTAATTCAGTTTGCAGACCTTGATTCATCAGGTTGATAGGGTAGTCACATCCTTCGACGTATCATAAAACATGTAGTAATAAGAATCATTTAATAAACAAACGATGTTATCTCGATTTAGCCAATGGACTCACTCATCATTCCCAAATGAGAGTCATACACACAAATCATGAGCATTTTCACAAACAAATAATAACTGGGAGAACACCTGGACAAGAAAATCATGTGTTTAAAATGTTACACTTACAATAGGAAATGTACTGTATTTCATGGGTTCTCGTAATTGTGAGAAGACGAATGAGCAAGCTATGTGATGAAAAGTGACTCACATCACAGCACACATGAACTACTCAGCAGTAGTAAGTGATATAATGGAGTGCACAGAAAGGTGAAGGGAATGAGAAGTTGGCAAACGTGCAGTAGGAATGAAATTAATACATGAAAGTGCGCATGGATCTCATATGAATACTGAAGCCACTTCACGCTTTAACGAGAGTGTCATTGAATACATATCAAAATATTTATCTAAGAACACCTCGGTATATGAAGATTGATATTTGTGCGCAAACGTTTTGATCGTCAAAGTAAACCAACAACACCACATTAGGTTTCTTATTCTTTGTATGACTTTGCAAATTTTTTCATCAATCACAATTTTACGTTCATTAGAAAACATTTTTCACTTCGTTGACTGATTTTCCTATCCTCTGGTTACTGTTCAGTATGTTATTAAATCTGTGTAAGTCTTCGACATTGGACGCCGACCACATTAGTTTTAATGGACTCATCTAGCTGAAGGCGCTCAGTCAGGTATCCGCACCAGATCACAAGTGGGAACGCAGTGCTCAAAATTTCCTGCAATCGCTAGCCAGTCTAGACCAATCATTTCTCGATATATTGATAGCCTATCAATTATATCGTCGAACCTCCTCACTTCTGACTTTTGATTTCACCAAGTTGGTACGATTCATAGTAGAAGGTGTTACTGGTTGAAGCGTTGTCAAACTCCGAATACCGTTGGCATCTTCACTTTCCTACTGACTGTTATATATATATATATGTATCATGTAAACGTTTTGTAAGATCTCTCAAGAAATATGATATATTTCTGCCTGTTGTCTTCCCTTAAAATAGGACACTAGAAAAGCCATAGAAAAAGAGGAAGTATCTTGATGAATGTAAGATTGATTATTCTTAGACTTTATAAAATTGGCTAGTTTTGTTTAGGCATCTACTTGAACACTTGTTACCGGCTTTGGAACTCTACATTTAACCCAACATTTCTTCGAAATGTGAATAAGAACAACATAGGAGAGACTACGAATGTGACTAGGACCTTCATAACAAGGTTAATTTATATACCTACAATAAGCTTATCAACGAATTTTTTGATAATTCTCATACTCTATAAACGTCTCAGAATATGGCAAGTAAAGAAACGCAGTAGGCATTTACCCGGTAACAGCTTGATGCAAACAAGTTTGAATAAGATGACATGTTCACATTTCTTTAGTATTATACACTTACAATAGTAAATGTACTGTATTTCATGGGTTCTCGTAATAATGAGAAGACGAAGAGCAAGCTATGTGATGAAAAATGATTCACATCACAGCACACATGAACTACTCAGCAGTAGTAAGTGATATAATGGAGTACACAGAAAGATGAAGGAGTGAGATAAATGAAGTTTGAATGGGTGAATTGGAGGTGAGGGTCATTGCTGATCGGTACCATTGGTAGGGTAAAGTAAGTATGTAAAATAAATGGCCGCCTTAATAACAGTATATTCAGGCGTACAATATTGTTCTCAATTAGATACTCATCAGGCTCATTCTAATATACTGTAATATTTATATTCACATGCGAAATGATAACACTAATGAAGTCAGTTGAGTCAATGATAACAGTGGAATAGATGATAAAATTGTACAATACAAATGAGAAGCACGAATTGAGTGATGAAAGGTGTAGCAGTTGTGATACGAATATTGTAGGTTTGAATCCATGATTCATAATAGGGAGTTTGTGAGTGACTTGAAAAATGTACAAACTGAAATAACCATGAGATTAACCAACCAGAAGTGCTCTGGTAATTGGAAGACGAAGTATGTGTTTGGAAGTGTAGGATGTGGCATGTAATGGAAGAGTAAACGAACGTAGATTGTGGAAAATAATAATGGCAATAATTCTGGAAAAGAAGAGTTTTAGGATCTTTGGGAAGAACATTCAATTCGGCTGGAATTCGTTTTATCTCTTGTAGTCAGCCCATGATCGGAAGTTATGTGAATGATACATTCTTATTTCAGGCAAGACCAATTTACATATTCCAATCTACATGCCCACTCGTAGCTTGAAATCTCGAGCGCACAAAAGGAGCTCTCTCGAAATGCATCTGTGAATATTCCTCCGTGTGACTTTCCAGAGGATTTAAGAGGTCAGTTTAAAGCTCAACGTTGAACAATCTGGTCAAGTTCTAACCATTTCAATCGACTAGAAGCCTCCCTAAAAATCGTGTTCACAGTCCGGTAATTCGAGGCCGGTATGGATGCAAATAAAGAGCGTATGTACAGAAGAGGCGATTGCTGTCCAGCATATCAAGCCTTAACTTTGCATACAGAACAATATGTTCAATCCCTAATTGCTCCTTGATCATAAACGTCATTATTTTCGTGATCTAACTTCTTTACATTACAATAGGATGGTTTAAATTTGAATGTAAGAATACACCAAGTCACAAATGAGAAGACAAAAAACAGGTGAGAAGGAATGCTATTTCAAGCAGTGCTAATTGTGATACAATACTGTCAGATATTTATAGTTTTTTCTAAAAAACGAAATCATCATTATAGTTCTCCTATCCACATACAGGGGTTGTTTACATTTGTCCATTAGGAAAGCTACACGTAAGGATTCTGGGATATTCTCTCAGATGAGTGGATGTAAGGTCTTCAGCTGTTTTTGAGTTTCGTAGAGCTTCCTCGAATTCATAATAAAGTAGAAGAGTACATGATTTGTCATCATAATTGTTTCTGAACAACATTTAGTATGGACAGGTTTGACTTAACCTGATTCACCATGCACAACGGTCTCTAATTCCGTCTCATCGTCAATGTGCGAACAGAATTTACGACTCAATATCCTGATGATGATTCCCATAACCACAATACACGCTTCACGATTGAACCACATTGTCTCAAAACCAAGAACCTCAATCACAGTAATCCATCAAGCATATGAATCTTCATCTTGTGCCGCTTAAAAAAGACCACTTTATGTGGCTTTTTATGATGCTCGAAGAATCACAACTGTCAAAGAAATTGTGTTGAATGTCATCATAGGTTGAACGTGATAGTGTTCAGTCTACAAATATGCAACTCTATTCATGTAGATTGAGTGGAACACGCAAATCAATGTCATCCTCAAATTCTTCTCAAAAATATTATTCATTCCTAAATATTCACACTCACACCAAAATAACACCACTTATTTCAACTTATAGTCCCCACTGCAAAACATAACACAATTTACATAATCCATTAATCCCAAACACATGACCATTATGAAGAATAGTGGTACGACCCGTCATATTCTGTTTCTGTCCTCATGAGGTTATATGAAAACGGACAATTGACGTGCGTATGGACTTGTTTGTATGCGCAGATTGAAGAACTCGTTGAAGCATGAATTGGCTTCAGTATTCATATGAGATCCATGTGCACTGTCATGTATGTTTGTTTGCCTTCTACAAAATATTCATTTTCAAAGCTCTTATGTGGTTGGTCATTTCTGGTTCATTCTCATACTGTGCCCATATTCATTGTAGTATAAATACGAATCGGTTTCTAATTCAGACAACTGGGTAATTCTTATGAAATGTAAGTTTTGATTATTAATTGTATAATGACCTATACATATTATTTTGATAAGCGTCCTACACTTGACATTGATGAGTTCCACTTCTCATAAATGTTCACGAGAAATCATGAAATGGCATCAGAATGCTAGTCACATTCTCACATGTGACGCAATATCGTAAGTTCCATTTTGTGTGGCTGGGTCGTAGATGCAAATGAATGCTGAATATTCTCGAGTTAAGACAAAATAGTGAAATAGTGATCCCCGGTTTTCGGAAGTGATCTGTCTCAGATCATTTCGTGGGTTTGACTGAAAAGTTTAAAATCTCTATTGAGCTCTGTACTGATAAGTTTTGATGAAGAGACAGATAAGTCAGGAGTGTGCCGACCAAGTTCTCAATGTGCTTGCCATATTCAGATTAATGCTTACAATAGTGCTGATATCAGTGATCATAAAACTTATTGGATAATAATAAAAATGGTTTTGAATGGGATCGTGAATGTGTAATGTTGAGGAGTCTCATACTAGGCGGAACGGTCGTCCAATGCTTCCACGTTTGCAATGCTGATCTAGTTTAGATGGACTCGTGAATTCATCTGTTAGAATAAATTTGTGTTAGGAAAATACAAATGCTCGGCATGAATGACGATGGGAAGGATAAGTTCACAGTTGGTGTTCTCTTGTTCCACTGAATTCAACGCTTTCATAGATGTTCTGAATTTCTCTGGGTTATATTCGCACTGAGTGCGACACACCGAAGTTGTGAGTAAACGAAGAGTTCATACGTCTCCGATCGAATCATTTGTAGGAGTGTTCAATTGAGGTGTCGCAACTTGAACGACAAATGAGATTATGACCGTTGATTAGTGACGTTTTGGTGTACACATTCGAGATTCATGTTTTCAACCTTGTGAATTGAATGGCATACGCGAATGTGATGCGTGTTGAAAGAGTTCGCATATCAAAGGACATTGTTTTGATGAAATGAATTTGTTGATTTTGTTTCGATAAATCGATATTTGACGTTGTTATACATCTCAATGAAATTACACTTCAGTCAATTCTCGATTAATAACTCATCATTTTCACTATTTAGCTGGCATGTTTACAGTGTTAACGATAGTTTCGGGAGCAGTCATCCTCACTCTGAATTGTGTGATGTGTCTGGACAATGGGTTGGCTAGAACACCACCAATGGGATGGAACACATGGCTTGCATTCGGCTGTCAGTTGAATTGTCAGAGGTATCCAAACAGCTGTCTTAATGAGGATGCAATCAAACGGACAGCTGATAAACTTGTATCGGATGGTTGGCGAGATTTGGGCTATAAATATGTGATACTTGATGATTGTTGGTTAGCAACACAACGTGATCCGATAACGAATAGAATTATGGCAGATCCTTCAAGATTTCCGAGCGTAAGTTGATGCATGTCCTTGGATATAACATGTCGACAATTTATGTATGCTGTTTCAACATTATGAAGTCATGGTAATCGAAATTAATCATTTTAATCATACCATTGATTCAGTTTAAATGTTTTTTTCATGAATGACTTCGCAGTGTGATTTATAGCGTAACTGTTTTTATCATGAATGACATAGCTTTCCCAGTATAAATCAATGTAATATTATAGATCTGATTGGTTATGGAGTATTTTCGATTTGATTTAATCTTCGTTAAATTCCATTGTGTTCTATGTTTATAATTCGTATATATTAATACTTCTTTTCTAGGGTATTGAATACATTGCAAAATGTCTGCATTCCAAACAACTGCTACTCGGTGTAACTCTTGGTAATGGGGCCATGACATGTTCTGGTTATCCAGGAAGTATAAATCATTTGGAATTGGATGCAAAAACAGTGGCTGACTGAGGAGTAGATAATGTGAAAGTGCATGCCTGCCACTCTGCGGAGAATACAGCACCAGATGGTTTTGAAAAATTTACCAGATTACTCAATGCAACTGGCAGGCCGATAATGCTTTTGTGTACTTATCCAGCATATAGCTATTGGCTTTCAAACTCTAATTTGATTGACTGGAAAAGATTACAAAATAATTGTAATTTGTGGCGAGTGTCGTCCAACGTGCAAAACAACTGGGGATCTATAATCGGTATTATTAATAGATATAAACTTCGCAACGATGTTTTTCCGAAAGTGGCTGGTCCCGGACATTACAATGATCCCGATGTGTTAGTCTTGGGATACAATGGACTTTCAAATGATCAAAAGCGAGTTCAGATGGGCATGTGGTGTATGTTTGCTGCTCCACTACTGATCTCAGCTGACATGGACAAGGTGGATCCATTCAGTGCATCTCTCTTACGTAACAAACATTTGTTGGCGATAGATCAGGATAAAGGTGGACATCAGGCGGAATTCGTGAAAACACGAAATGATGTACAGGTGAGCTCATTGCATTAGTTAGGAATTCATCATATAGTCGAATACATAATATGTCTCACTGTGTTGGTAGAATGACATAACCGTATAATGAAGCTCTTATATTTTAAATATAATAATGTGTAAGGATAGAGACGAACATTATGGATGAAATATTCAATCTCAGTTTCATAGTTTTGATAGTGTGCATTCCAGCTGTTCTAGCTGTCAAGCTTAGTCACTAAATTCTAACGGAAGTTTACACTGACCATTGCTTCGATTCAATAACATGTATTACCACAAATCAAGTGAAGAGTCAGCATTAATATACACTAACCATAAATATTTAATAAGTTAGTCGACCGACATGATCATTGTTTTGTTAATATACCCAGTCACTACCAGTGCAGCTGCACCTATGTAGCTGTCAAGTATAGCCACCAACTACATTTTTTTCCATTATTTGTTCTTCAACTAGGTCACGATATGTCGTTAACATCTTTTTTATTTATCAGTGCACTGAATATTAACAGACGTTTATCATCTATTCATATATTTCTTTTCATATAGTTGTGGATACGAAAATTAGATAATTGTCCAAATGGTTGGGCAATCGCTTGCATTTACACAAAGGCTGATGGAGGACCAATCAACTTCAGCACGAATCTAGATGAATTCAAATCACAGATGTATACAATATCAGGAGATAAGTTTGAATTACTGGATGTATTCACGGGTGATAGATTCAAAGACGTACAATTGACAGAGAACTTTACGATTTCCATCAATCCATCTGGAATAATGATGTTTCGAATCATTCCATTCCATTTGATTACCAGTTTTCAGTAAATTGGTGATAGTTTTTACTAATTGTTCGAAGCGAATTTCGATGTTCTGTTGATTGTCAGATTGATAAGTAACTAGTTTCCGGTTAATGGGTTCACAGTTCATCAACACACTTAATTTGCTCAATTAATGTGAAATTTATTTTGCGCGGAAAAGAAATGATTGTAATTCGCCTTTTTTCTTTCAATGTTCTTTTTAGACTATAAACTCGTATCTTAACATGTATCTAGTTCTCTATTAGTGAATGAATGATCAACAATAGACACCTTAATCGTCTATTGAAATTGTGCGTTGTCTTAAATAGAAGAATGTTTACGATGGATCAGATGTGTATCTGCGTGGTAGCATCACACAATCTGCTTCTTGACATGTGATCGAATCTGTCAGGGAGCATCAGTTCCCTCAAGATTACAGGTATATGTGATAAATAGAGGTACTTGAATTATAGTAAAAACTAAAAATCCCAGAAATAGAGCAATTGCAGCAAGAAGTATTAGATAAGCACGAACGAATGCACTGTATTTGGAATTCAAAATCAAGCATTCAACAATTACAAAGAAATCGTCAGTTCATATAAACATCACATCCACCATAGCTTAAATGAGAATTCGAATTTCTGCAATAAACTGTTCCTCTTCTTCGTAGGTTCGTCGTGTCTATCGGACCATGTATTGGATGCAGACTGTATGATCTAGAATATGCTCATCAGTATTAGAATTAACAATCATAGTCGGAACAAACTCACCTAGGTCCTGAGATCGTATACAATAACTATATCGGTTGTGTACAGAAACCACTAATATCTAGAATTTGAACCACAGATTTTCCAACACTATCCTCTCATATGAAATAATGTTGGATCATTATGTCCTCAAGTTGTGAATGATGTGGCTTCATTTAATAGATATTTCTCAGATTGGTTAGAGTAAGCATTAGAAGTAACTTTGTGATAAGGATAAACAGCAGTTGATATGAAATCATGTGAATTGTAATCAAAATCGAGATCATTTAGTACTCGTGCTTCGCATTGAGCAAGTTTCCCACAAGAAACAAATGCATTATGAGAACTGATAATATTTGATATGACATTAAGATTTGATTCTTTTGAAACAGTTTCTTTGAATTTATTCAGATTATTCTTGCACAGTAAAGAATCATTAGAAAAAGTGGGATCTATCAAAACTACATCAGGTTTTCGAACATGACTAGGTTCATTCAACATACTGTCCTCAGATTTGTGGGAAATTTCATAAGAAATATGGGAATTATTAGTACAAACCACATTTGACACAATAACATGAGGAATCTGATAATTTGATTGAGTATAAACTGATTTCCCACAAGGATTTTGAGTTTCATTTAAATCTGGTTCGCTACGTGAATCTATACCGCTTTTTGAAGTCATGGATAAAGATAAATGATCATCAGAAACACCCAACTTCACAGGATCAGAATTACAGATTTTAGCATCAGTTGCAGCCGAACGAACTGTGGTATGACAAAGTGACTGAATGTGTCCAATCTCAACATATTTAGAGCATTGAGAATTACAAAATACATACGAATTAAACTAGTGAAACTTGCCAGATCACAAACATTGACCAAACGTGTGCACATCTTCGTGAATTACCTGCTAACCTTGAGTATGCACTGGATTTGAGTGACGTAGTAATGTAGTGGAATTTTTGATGTCCTAGTATATCATTTTACGAAATCTTCCTTTACTGAATTCGAAATTTGTATACCTAACACAGTCTAGCAGTTGATCCTTGAGAGTTGTATCTGAAAGCGAAATGGGCTTTTCCGGCAAAGCCAGAGTTTTTAATAAGCTATATGCTTGTTTTCCGATTAGTGTGGGGAAATGTGCCACAACATTAACGTCCTCAACATCTTCCTTGGTCATAGGCCAGATTTTGAACCCTTCAAAGTATTCCCCAAATGCATCAAGATCTGAATGTATATCCAATAATTCCATCACAGGCTCCATCGCGACGCCAATCTGATAATAAGAAGCATTGTAATTATAGTACGAACTAGGAATCCCGGAAATAACGCGATTGAATTAAGAAGTACTGGATAAGCACGAATGAATGTGCTGTATTTGGAATTCAAAATCAGGCATTGAATAATTACAAAGGAGTAGTTAGTTAATATAAACACCACAGTACACCTTGCTTACGAGTGTCAAATAGCACGAAACCTAGGCCCAGGATATACATTAGACAACCTCCAATCGCCCTTTTATTTCTACATAGTGCATGCAGTATCGAGTAACTTAGACCAGTGGTCAAATTGCAACTTGATCGATCTCCAGTTCAACTTGTGTTAAAGAGCAACTGTTCATTATCGGTTCATATGATGTCGATCGATTTCACGTTCATATTGAAATACATTCGGCAGGCCACGGTGGAATGTAGACACCATCTTTACAACACCAAATTTTCAAGAATACTTAGAGTCAACTATCACATTTTATAGTTGGTCATTTCAGGTTATGAATGAAGTCTCTCAAAATCTTATTGATCTACCATTGCTGATACTGAGGAATACAGAATAGCTGATTAGTAATGAGATGCACTTTGAATAGTTTCGAAATGTGTTATTCCTTTTTTTTGCAGTTGCCTAAACTAAAACCGGATGATGGTTAGTCCATTTGTCATTTTTGCAGACAATTATCACTGTATAGTCGAGTCGTTCATGAATATTCTCTCTCCGTAAAAGCCTAATCGGTAACTGTAATATTCAACTTTCAAATCAATGATCTCTCTCTTCGATAAAATACGTAAATTTGTCATCGAATACTGAACGTTATTCGGGCCAAATGCAGTAGGCGAATGAACACTTCGCATTATTTGTATATTACTGTTTTGTTATACTGCATGAATGTACTTGCTGAGCATCCAGTATATACACAATCAGTGCTGAATAATGAGATATTTACTGGGTCAAGCACAGTGATGGGCAATTGGGACGCTGGACTTCATATGATAATTAGAGACAAGCGAATTCCACATGCCAACTAATTGTAATCAGAACCATCTTGTAAGCACTTTGTTAGGCACACACAGCCCAGTATTTAAGTTAGACCGAACTCAGTGAGTAGAGTCGTAGGTAATGGACTTGGAATTCGTAATGAGCGCCAATTTACCTACAGAGGAATCATTGTTCTATGCAAACATTTCACCTATCAAAACTCAGATGATATTTGGATCTTCATAAAACGTTTACATCAATCTTATTTGTTATTGAGTTTTCTGCGTACTAAGTTGTTTAACAGTTTTTACCGAACGAATTCACTTTGTTTAAAGGCTTTCTTATTTGAGTTGCTGTCATATCGCTTCCTTTGTTTTTAATTGTTGCTGACTGGAAGAATGGAGAGAAATTCCCGTCAAACGGGAATATTGTTGACCAGAAAAGTTGAAGATGTTTTGTTAGTGAAAACATTAAGCCGTATGTCTTTTTCAATGAACGATTTCTCGATCTTCCACAAACAACCATTTATTGTAATTTCTTCTATGTTGGCTTCTGAGTGTTTATTTTTTCCGAAAGTAATGTTTAAAATTCGATCACTGTTATCTCTGAGTTAAGACTACCAATATACGGCGTTAACAACCCCAGAATTTGTTTTCACAGGTAGATGCACT